AGGCCATTTGTAAGGAGCACAAGAGGCAACTGGCTTCTGATGTTTGCCGGGTAGAGGAAAGCAGAATTCTGAAAGCTGGCCCAGGTGAGGGTTCCTTTCATGTTCAGGTCTCCCCCTCATTTACGTGTGCAGAAGTGGAGCTCAGTCACCTCCATGCAATCACCTCCCTTCCTTCTAGCTAACAGAAGGCACTCTCTGAGTCTGGGGTTCATGTGGAGGAGGAATGGGTAAGTTAGATAGGATGCTTATAGTCCCCACTAGAACCATACACCATGGAACAGAAAATACATCATGGATCTAAATTAGCAGTTCCCAACATAGTGCCTGTGGGTGCCATGGCATCCCCTGAGGTTTATTCAGGTGCCCATGTGCATTTTCACGATCAGTAAAAATCATTATTCCAACAAAAAATGCTATCATATTGGTGCTCCCTGCTTTTTCTTTTACATTCTAATGTGCCCTTGGTCACATAAGTGTTGTTGGGACCCCCTGGTCTAAATGATCCTCTTTGCATAACGAGCTTCTCTTATACTGTAATTTCATTGGCAGACTTAAGGGTTGCTGCAGCTGGGAGAAGCTCCAATGGAGCTTCAGGCTATCCATGAGAAGGGGCCCTCAATCTAGAGCAGGGGCAGGCAAGGTTTTTTTGGCCGGAGTGCCGAAAAAACCACAATGTCTACCTTGGAAGGTGCCGGAGTGCTGGCACACCACAAAAACAAAACGGGGCCAGGGGGGCAGAGTGGGGGTCATGGCAGGATGCACTGCATATTTAATACAGTTAATAATCATAAATGTTGCTTCTTTTTGTTTTGTTTACAGTAAATACCAGGTTTTCTTACAATTCTAAAACTGGTGACAATAAACAAAACTGCATGTACTGCCTTTGTACTTGTGGTTTGTTTTGTTCTGTCTTTTTCTTGTTAAGCAGGTTGTGATGAGGGGGGAGAGAGGAGCAGGGAGCAGCAGGCACCAGGGGAGTGACCGTGGGCAGGTTGGCCTGGCCAGGCCCTTGGGAGGGCTGCAGTCGGAGGAGAGTGGGGGTCAGGCGGGGAGTGGGGGCTGCCCCAAGGCTCTGAAGACTCAGGCCACAGTGGTGGGGCCCAGCACCACTGGAGGTGGGGCCCAGTCAGACCACGCAGCTCCATGGGGATGGGGTGCAGACACCCTGCCCGCAAAGGGATGCTGCCTGGCTGGGACAGGATGCCGGGTTCAGGGCGCTCCCTGCTTGGTCTCTATGCATGCCAGGTACAGTGTGAGTGGGAGCTGCAGCCACAGGCTGTTTCCCCCGGGCTCTGGGAACAGCTGCTGCTTAGGGCTGAGCTGGCTGGGACCCCATAGCACAGCGGCTCTATGCAGTGCCTGCCCTGGCCCTGGCCCCTTGAAGGGAGCTATGGGTGGGCAAGGCCAGAGCCCTGGCAGGCTGGGGCAGACACGGTGGCTGTTCCCAGTGTCCAGGGGGCTCCTGTGGCCAGGCCCTTGCCCCAGGGATGGCTCTGCCCTGTTTGCGCTGTGCCCAGCATGCAGGGAGGCTGATCCCAGAGCTGGAAGCCCCCTGAGCCCGGCGTCCTGGCCCAGCCAGGCAGCATCCCCACATGCACAGGGTGGCTGCAGCCCATCCCTGAGGAGCTGCGCGGGCTGGGCCAGGCCCCACCTGCCCGCCCACCACAGCTCAAACCCGCAGAGCCCCGGGGCAGCCCACACTTCCTTCCCAGCCCCTGCCTTCCTAAGGGCCCGACTGGGCTGGCTTGCCCACGGTGCCTCTTTCCATGATGCCCAGACCCTGCACTCGGCACTCTAGTGCTTCCCCACCCAGGTAGGACAGGGTGTCTGCTTGCCTGAGCCCAGGGCTCTGCCACCTACTGGAAGCCTCCAGGGCAGCGACCCTGTACAGCACCTGCCCCTGCCCCTGCCCCAGCCCTGTCCACCCACCACTCCCTCCAGGGGTCAGCTGGGCTGGATGGTGCAGCCTGGGAGCAAGGGGCAGGGGCAGTACAACACACAGGCTCCGCCCCGGTGCCTGCCGCGGCGCTTGGACTTGTGGCTACACAGGAGACCCCAGAGCAGCAACTTTAAAAAAAAAAAAAAAAAAATTAAACAATTTTCAGGCATGCCTCCCAGTGTCGGGAAAAATGTCTCCACGTGCCATTAATGGCACACGTGCCAATGGTTGCCAACGCCTGATCTAGAGGCTATGTGGAGGCACAGAGCCATCCTATGGATGGGCTTGGCCTTTTGCAATCCCCTTGGATTCCTCGTCATTTCTAGATACATTCAGCCATCGGTCACTCCAATTAAATAACAAGGAAGGACTCATCTCCTATGTCTATTTCTGTTTTCAGGATGGGATGTTTCAGGAGGGTAGCAAAAGAGATGGCAAAAGGCCTCCTGAGATGCTGGGTACAGGGCAATCTGGCGGCATCCAAATAACTCTACACTGATCCCAAATATCTCTAACTGTAAACAAAGCAACTGACTTCAGAATGAAACTCCTGTGGTTATTATTTCGTTAACTTCCTTAAAAATAGAGTCTAGGAAATTGGAAATTCCATGCAAAAAAATGAATGAGGGAACACTAAGGAGCCCTAACACGGTTTGGTATCAAGACATGTAACCTGCGCTCTGATTCCTGAAGTCTATCCAACATGCTGCTGCATGGGCCATATTATCAGCTAATGCTAATCAATGGAGCTATTTCACCAGCTGAAGATCTAGCCTGCAGTCTTTATACAGTGGCACACACCATTTCCCAAATAATACAATACCAGTATTTCCCTTGATGTCTGATATGCATTTGAAGCTTTTATATAAGTGAAACATACCAGATCATGAAAGTTTTTATGTGAAAAGTTGACAGTAAAGCATGCAGTCCAAATTTATAACATTAAAAAGTATACAGCAGAGAAAAATAGAGTAAATTACCTTGAACATGTAGCTCTCTGCATTTGCAGCTATTTTAGCTTCTTACTTACCAGCCTCATACCCTAAATAGCACATAAGCCATGCTCCATTGGTGGCTGACAGGAAAATACTAACAAAATTATTATGGTAAAATGAGTAAAGATGAGTATCTTTGTTAGAGAGAAGGAAAAAAAATCAGATCATACAAGAAGTCTAGGCCAACGTTTTCAAATCAGGGTGCCTAAAATTAAGTACCTGAATAAAAGCAGTTTGACTTTCAGAGGTGCTGACTATGAACAATTACCGCTGACATGAATGAAAACTGAGCCATTTTTTTTCCAAGGTGCCTCAGGGTATGGCAGCACAGACAAGCTGCTGTGACGTAAGGTAAAATACGAACTTACAGCACATCAGCTACTCCCCAGTAACTGCCTGCGTGCACGCTTGCACCCTGCGGCAAATACAAGATGGCTTTCCCCACAGTGACAGTGGGGTAAGCTAACCTCAAGTTTGCCACAGGGTAAGAGTGTATACTCAAGCAGCCACCATGGAGTAGCTGTCATACTGTATGTTGGCGCCCTCACTTACCTTACAACATCTTGTTCACATGCCAATACCAAAGTGTGAATTTAAGAGAGCAGCCAATACAATTTTAAAATGTGTCCTAAGTCCAAAGTGATCTGAGGGTATGTTACAGCAATACAAATAATGCAAGGATTAAAAAAGAACATTTTAAAATATGCTATCTACAGTTGGGGCACTTAAAACATCTCTCCACAATTCAAACATTCGCCAGAGTCCAGGGATACTCCTCATTAAAGCAGGGGAATCCATTAGAACAAGAAGGGATGGAGAAAAGGAAGTCCTGTGGTTAGAGAGCTCTTTAGCTAGGGCTTGGATCCAGTTCCTTTCTCTGCAGCTCATGACTCACGATTTTAGGCAAATCATTTAGTCTTCCTGCATCTCAGTCAGTGGGGAAAGGTTCCTGCTCAGCCTTCTCGGTCACAGTGCCTTACTCTGCATCGCTAACAGTGGTACACATGTAACAGAATAGATGATGTGTCTGAGCTGCACTCAGCATGCCCCGGGGGTGGAGTATCGGTTGTTTTCTGCCCCTTTACCTCCTTCCTCTAAACTAGCAACTAGGGGCTAGTTTGGCCCTGATGGAAGTGAAAGTAGCCTCAGGGTTGGGTCTGCTTTGCCAGACTACAGTATGCCTCACGTATCAAGCATGTTTCCCTATAGCAGGAGTTCCCCAGCAGGATGAAGGGGACAAGCAGGAACAAAGTCATCTCATCCATAGAGCTTAGAATCTCATGAAATGAGACAGGGATGTATTTGGTAGCTGTGTTGCCCTGAGACAAAAAGAGATGCAAAAATCTAGAACTCTTGGTTCAGAGATGATACCTTTTATGAGACCAACTAAGACATTACAAAAAAAATTGTCTTTTTCTGCAAGCTTTCGGGCTTACATGCCCTTCATCAAATGAAAAAAAATGCAAAAATGAAATTTATTTCCTACCTATGGGGACTTTTTACCATCTTTAATTTTCCCTGAGCCTGAAGAAGGGCACGTAAGCCCGGAAGCTTGCAGAAAAAGACATTTTTTTTTTGCAATTTCTTAGCTGGTCTAATAAAAAGTATCATCTCTGAACCAAGAGTTCAAGATATTTGCATGAAATGAGGGGTGAGGTTAAATACAGGACTGTTCAGGACCATTTCTTTCCATTCAGTCTCCATGTGTCTAGATCTATAGATTACCAAGGCCGCAGCTCCCCCACGTATCTGGAAAACAATGCTAACTTGCTGCCCCACATGCTCACTGGAGACCCAGGAATGTCCTGGCACTGCAGCCCCTACCACAGACTTCACCACATCACAATTAGTCAGTTTGTTCAGTGCAGATTTTCAGCTAAGCTCTTAAAAGCTGTTTCATAAATATTCTATGGCCTTTCAAATAGGGTAATGTGCCTCTGTGACATTAAAGAGGAAACTCCTGTGAAGGGGAGGGATGACAACAAATTTATCCACCAATAGCATGCTCTTTTGGCACAAAAGCACATTCTTATCTTTATATCCCATAATGAGAAGGCAGAGGCAGGATTGTTGCTCCAACTCTCAGAGCGGGTAGATGTCGAGTACAGGAGAAGGATAGCTGTAAATGGTTAGTTATTTTTTACCCCTGCCTTCGCTAACAGAAGAAACTGAGTTTGTATTTTCCCGTGGTTTTCCTAAGTACCGTTGAGGAGAACTTCTTTTCACATGATGTCAGACTGCGAGGGACTGCCTGTGGGTAAGTGCCAGATTTATATTTACCACAGTGTCCTGCCGACCAGTTCACATTCTCAGATTGCAAAGTCACACGCGAACCCGCTTGGTTTTGAAGGCAGTCAGAGCCATAGCAGGGGAAAAAACCACATGTAATCAACATAGTTCCTACATGCTTTTAGTTATGACATGTTCTCGGGTAGCGGTTATTGGGTGAGAGCCTACAAAGTTTTTTCTTTTATTTAAATAAAGGCATGAAGAATAAATCAAGAGGATGATTTCGGCTATTCAGGGAAATGGTCTGAAGTGACTGATTCTGTAGAAGTGATAGAATCAGCAATTGTTTTCTGGAACTGCTAAACAAGAATTTCTGGGAAGGGCTCCTGAAACAACTCTGCTGTCTATGTAGTGTGTAAACACACTCATAAACCTTTTCAAATGACAAGGGGGTTGCGGAAAAGACAGATGTGTATATTAAAGATGAATTCTTAGCTGAAAGAAAATGCATATTCTGGGCACTGTATTTCCAAAATAAAGTGCTTTGCACATAAATAAATAAAGTGCCTACAGCTAAGAAGCAGTCATTCACTGACAGATATGGCTGGATATGTCAAACTTTCCCGCACAAGAGACCCAGTTATGTGGTAAGAGGACATTTCCTGGCTTTTTCCCCCTCGTTTCACTTCCATACATACTATAAACATTCACTAGATCGTCTGCATGAAAGGAAATCCTTGTGGAGACCGAGGAGCAAATCTGTGCCAAGGCTTTCAATATACGAAGACATGGCCCATTTAAAAACACCTCTTTTATTTTGCCGAGCATTTGTCTTTTCATATTTATAGTAGAATAACTTTGTTTGACTGGCTTGGGAAGGTAGCGCATCAAAGACAGGGCCCTTGGTTTGAAACTGGTGATAGAGGAGAAGCAACCTCTCTGTCTTCTCTCTGTTTCCATTTTATTGGAGAAAAAAAATCTTAAATAAGAGCACAGTGAAAAACAATCAATTATGTAGTGCAGAGTAAGCTGTTCTGTGCAATTTCCTTTGCCAGGAGATAGTCATCATGAACATTGTCTAAAGGCAGGACAGTAGCCTATGTAGATTATTTTTTTGCTTACTTTTTCAAAGGGTTGATCTGGTGACCAGAATAGCTTCCCTTTCTCAGCAGAGTTGGCCTTGACTTTAATGGCTTGACCTCTGTTTGCTTGTTAAGCACTCTGAGTTGGGGGTGAGATATTTCAGGATGACAGTGACAATATTTAGCTGGCATCTGATATTAATGATGAAACTGATATTGAGCAAACATAGCATGATGGGTGAAAAAGTTTCTTATATCTCAATTACCTTGGCAATTGAAAGGGCCCAGAATGTTTTCTTTGCAGAAAATTGTTGATGGATGTGCTTGGAGGAGGGAGGGCAGGCTGCTGAATGAGGGAAGAAATAAATAGCAGAGATTAACTGAAGTTTGGACCTGGGTGCAGATCTGTAAATTGCCAACATTTCCAGAGCAGAAGGTTCAGTTTCTTCTCCATCCCCTTTGTATTCTTCCCTCCTCCAATTGCTTAGAGAGGACCTTGGCAGTGTTTCCAGACCACTCACTGCCTCCTGTGCCAGGTATCACAACTGACCTGTGCTCTTCTCAATGTTCCTAATACCAGCAGAAATAACTGTGTGGCAGCCAAACCTGCGGGGCATGTCTGCACCATCTCTGACAGTGCTGGGGAGAGCTCCAGGGAAATGGAGCACATCCATTCTGCTCATGCTATAGCCCAAGAAAAGTACTATTACCACTGTTTGGCACACATGCAGGATGTACTGTCAGGCCCACGTGCACTGATTAGCTTGCACCCAGTACCACTCTCATGGCACCTCCCTTTCATTTGGCATGTACAGAGTGGGAGCAAATAAGCAGGCTGTAATTCATGACACTGATGTCATGCATGGCGCAGAGACAGTGTAGACACACCCACAGACTCCACCAGGACCACATGTGGTCTTCTGGAGTATGTGTACACATATGAGTATCAGTACTGCACTATATGTGGTTATGAAACTATTTTTCATGACCCAGTTGCTGACAGTTAGCTTTCATGTGAAGGGACTTTGAGATCAAACAATTATCTTGATGGTTGCATCTTTTCTACCAACTGTTTGGAAGATTGAAACTTGACCAATAAAAGCTTCATAAATAGGGGTTTAAAATATCAACAGAAAACTCTGGAGTAATATGATTCATATCCAGTAAGGCAAAAACCACCCTAGTGATTCCACTAAGTTCTGAATGGTGTAACTGAGGCCAGCATTCAGCCTTGTATCGTAAAGATTAATGTTGAATTTGGCTAGAGTGGGCATTTGCAAGCACATTGTTATACTAATCTATAGGACTAATGTTGTAACGTGGCTAGACAATAGTGACCTATTTATAGCAGAGAGTTTACAGATATATGTATGTATGCATATATGTGTGTATATATATTAACACACTTTAAATAGCACTGTATTGTCTAGTCACATTAGAATATTTGTGTTATATATATATAGAGAGAGAGAGAGAGAGAGCGCCTCTGTGCAGTGTCTCTCTCATAAAAAGTCCTGAGAACTGAAGTTTGTAGTTACAGTAGATGAACACCGAAATGTCTCTGCTGCTTTCAGCCTACACAAAAATGTAGTAGGAACAGCTGCATAATTGTTCTGATCAGATAAGCAATTCAGAGGGAATTGCTGCATCTGACCTTTTGATTTAAATAGCTGGGTATGAACTGGCCAATATAACTTTTGAACAAGGAATTTCACTTAATGAGAAAACTCAGGCTTAAGAATTAGAAATGATTAGGCACCTTTTCAGGGTGAAATATTATTTTTTCACCTTTGTTACACAGAAGATTGTCTTCCACATTAGATTCAGAACAATTGCACTCTTTTAATAGTTTAGAACAGAGAGTTAAATGTTTGGATTACAACTGGATGCAGAAAGAGGTTTTTGTCTTATTGTAGCACAGGGGCTGCAAAACTGTCAGATGATGAAACAAGGGGCTACAAGGCCTTAACAATTTTGGGCTCTTTTCTACCAAAACCTTGGTTGTGTTCAATAAAGTGCTAAGATCAAAATGATCCATTAATGAACAGAATATTTACATTTTTATATAATTTATTTTCCAAAACTATTGTGCCACTGATAGATAAAGAAAGAAAGAATAATCAGTTCAGGACAAGATCACTTACTTCTGTTTCTTACTCATCAGCAACTATTGACATACTGATGCTATCCATTAGCGCTAGGTACATAGATTTACTGTCATTCCTACATGCAGATAAAAGCAAAGCACATCAATTATTTAAGTGCTTCCCCTTGTGTGTATTATTTTTCTTTTGTAGGAAGACATTGTTCAGTCTCCATACATCTGAACAGCGTTTCATACACAGTATTTTGATTAGGAACATATGAGTCATAATGGTTCTGGTTCTTACCACAGTTACTCTGACTTCAGATAAACCCTGTAAAGTTGAACAAAGGGCCTTAACGTGTCTGTTCACTTATTTCCCACGTCAGAAGCTGTGTCATCATACAGAGTCATTTTGACTACCCCACTGCTAGGTATTTGTGCATAAGCCATTCTGTTGTAGGCCTGAAGTATTCAGCTGTGGTGAGGTACAACTTCTATTGCCTGAGGGAGCACAACAGTTCAGATTCAGGGAAGCTCACTTATACTTATTTTATCTTTCATTTACTAAGATACTGCTAAAAATGGAAGAAATAGAATTGACTTAGCTAGTTCTGCAGCAAGCATCAGGGGCCTGGGAAGTCTGGCACAGTTTTCACCTCTGGTTTCCTCAAACTTTTTCTATTTCTTCTTCTTTTAGCAGACCAAAGAAGACATATTAAATGCAGAGCATTCTTGAACAGCCAGCTAAATATTTCCTCAGATCAGTTAACAGTGATGTTTCTCAAAGCCTAAAAATGTACATGTAGCCATGTGAGAGAGGTTGTGGGCAGCTTTTTAAAATGTGGGTGCTTCCTAGAGGCAGTCTCAGGGTCTTGACATACACTATACAGTCAGCCTGCATGGGGTATTTAGGGCAGAGGCATAACTGGTAGAATTTGTGCCATGGGCAGCAGACTCGTACCTAATAGGGTATACACACTGGGGCTAGGGACAGACATTCAAAAAGCCTGAGCCTGAATTGATTCAATCTTTGCAGGTTAATCTAATTTGCCTAGAAAGAATCAGTTTGCAACTGTAAAGACATTCCCTCTGGACTGAGGAAATGCAGGTACATGCCTGCAGTGGCTCAGGCTAGAAGCCAGGGAGTGCTAAAGCAGCCCTCCCATCCCTTCCACAGTGCTGAGCTGAGGGGGTGTGTGGCCAGGCCCCAGCAGGACCTCTGATGAGGGCAGGGTTTAAACCCCCACCCTAGCCTGAATGTTCCCAGGTTTTTCCCTGCTCACTGCTCAAGGGGTGGGAATGTTGCCAGATCCCAGCCCCAGGCTAGCACTCTGAGGCAAAGGGGAGGTATGCATGAATCTGTTGATGATACTGAGCTTTTCAGTCTCCTTCTACCTGCTTCTTTATACTGCCTCTGCAAACCTGACAGGCGCAGGAGACAGCAGGGAGCTGATAACACAGCGATTATCAGCCCATCAACAAAACAAAAGCCTCTCTCATTAGTTCAAGCTCTTCTTAAACAGCTTTTTTCCAAGGAAGGAATAGAGGGACATTCCCAGCTGATCTGTTGATTAGCTCCAAAAAGCCCTAAGCAGACACTGTTCTGTCTGCCTTTCCCAGTGAAAACTCACACACACACACACACACACACATGCCTCTCAGCATTAGTTAGCATACCACATACCTAGGGTCTGTAGGGCTGGGGTCTGTGTTGTGGGAGATGGGTGGGAGAAATCCCTGCTTGAGCAGTGAGCAGTGAAAGGGTGGGGGGGAGCAGAGGGAAGCCAGGCAGACCTTGCTGTGCCTGCAGTCTCTGCTGGAGCTCCAGCTAGGGAGCAGTGGGGCAGGGCCAGTCCTGTTCTCTGGAGCAGAGAGCACAGCCCAGCCCAGCCCAAGGCTGCAAAGCATCTAAGATGCTGGGGGACTCTGGTTTAACTTAAACAAGGAAGTGGTCTGGGACAGACATTGCATGAACTGGCTTGACCTAAATCAGTTAAGTCTGATACTACATTCAACCAGGTTTATCTTAAACGAGTTTTAGCCATTTTGAAATTGGCTTGTATGCACTGAACGTATGTTCTATTACAGGTTTAAACCAGTTTCTGACCACTTAAACTGGTTTATGTGTAATGTCTGTCCATAGCCTGGATGCTCCAGGGCTGTGCTCCATTTGATAGATCGGGCACAGGTTACCCCAGTCTACATACCGCACATGCTCAGGTGAACTAGTTAGACTGGGATGGCTATTTTTTGCTCAATCTAAATTCCTCCCGCTACGTATAGTGCAGCAGTTATATCGAATTAATCCCACTTAGGCTGATCTAAGCGCAACCTCTACACATACTCCATGTATATCAGGAGGGGCAATCTGTGATATAAAGTTAGTACTGTCAGTTTCCTGGGCTAAAAGGGGCTTATGAGCTGCCTTTCTTATGTCTTGCCAACTGCTCAATACAGATGAATCTCTTAGAATTGGATTGGAATTTCTTGGAATCTCCTAGTTCTCTTGGGTTTTCTGGTCTCTGAGAGTGAAATGATAGCGTCTCAACCCTACCCAAAAAAGTCAGTACTTTGTGCACTGAGGTTTCCCACATCATGGCCCAGGTCAGGTGAGAACATGTCGGACCGTGCTTAGATGCGTGAAGTTCTAGGCCAAATCCCTTAGACAATAAGGGTTAAAGAAAACCAGTTTAAATCTTTCTATGCTTGGTAAATTGGCTTGGAGGATTGAATTCTCAGCTATTTAATATGAATACAACTCTGTTCAAGTTGGTAGAGCAGAGAAATTGACCCTGAATGTTGGCTAGTTGAGCCTGTATAGTAGTTCTCTGAAAAGACCTGTATATTTGGCATTGCTGTTGCCTAGCTTTCCTTATTGCACAGCCAACCACATTTAAAATGAATCTGCAGAACAGCAGCCACTGTATAAAAGTATTCCTGAAGGATTAAAGTTAATAATGCCAGCTAATATCTCATGCATATTTTGAAGAAAAATACTGTTGCAGAATTGCTCAGCTCAAAAAGCAGCATGCTCATTGTCGGTGTCGTCCAATAGGTTCTGGTCTTGGTTCTGCTATTGGCTCGCTTGAATGCTTCCAGAAAAGCCATTTAACCTCTCTGCTAATCAGCGTCTGTAGAAGAGCTCTCAACTTTACCAAATGCTTATGATTACTACACATGAAAAACACTATGTAAGTGCTATTACCAGGGCAGCCAACTTCAGCAAGCAAGAAGACCACCAGAGAATTGTGTAAGTTAGAAAATACATCAGTGGCTTATTCCTTTCAGCTGCTGAAAGCCCTTAATACCATTCATAAACCAGTAGGTGCTGTTGATGATGAGTATCTCACCATAAAATATGACTTGGCAATGAAAGAAATCAAACCTGACAAATATTACATAGGAGAGCTAGTGAAAATCTTACCAGTGGACTGTTTTTCTGCCAGGAAATTCTTGATTTGTTGCATTGGCATGTATCTATGTCATCACATTTTAAGAACCTTCTGTTTGGACAAAACATTTAATTTAGAAATTTAAAAAATATACCAACATAAAAATGCAACAAAAACATCAAAAGGAACATTTAAAACCTTAAGGACATTATTCAACAGGGTCCAAACAAATATATGTATGTTGTTTAGAAAAAAAAATCTCAGTCTGTCAAAATGAAGTTTCAGAGTCTCAGACTTCTGTAGTGGGACAGGTATTCAGCTTCCTACCACCTCTGCTATTTCAACTGCAGGGTCTTTGATTCAACTGCCATCTTTTGTTTTCTTGTATTGGTACAGCAGCTGACACCATGGGTACCAGAATAATGACCGTGCCTCCCAAATGGTAGCCATACAGACAGATAATGTGTACTAAGTGTTCCTTGTGACTGTTAAGATCTAGGACCACTCTGATCAGGCCATAGATGGGGAAAAGTGTGTGATTTAGAGCTCCAGGAATCAGTATTTCACAGGAACCACATCAGAAATAGGTTTACGGTAATAAGCAAACCCTGCTGAGATATATGAATGAAAACTTGTCAGAAACAGCCCTGCAAAGGCATCTCTGTGCATGAAGCATTTTAGAAGCAACCTATTATCCACAATATCAAAAGCAGCCAAAGGGTCATAAAGAGTTAAAATCAACCGCATGCAGAATCCACCTGCTGTAGATGTTATTAGAATATAAACCTTGGTTAAAATGGCTCCCTACTGAGACCAGACTGAAGATTTTCAGACATTGCATTTTCAAAGAGAAAAGACTGTGGTAGGCCAAAGACATGCCTTCTTCCCCTTCCTGAGATCCTCTGTTAGGGAAAAAGGTTGTTTTGGCTAAGATAAAAACCCAAGGGCTTCCTAATGAATGCTATAATTGCCACAGTCATGTGCAAGAGAGAGAACTAAGACTAGAAGCTGCTTCTAATTATACCAGTATAAAACATCACCAAGAGCAGGATCTGGTTGTTCATTATCAAAGACAGAATAGGTGAAAGGGAAGCTTGTCCTCAGTGATACCCTGTAACCTAGGCTTTGTCCATAATAGGGGTTTGTCTCATTTTTAGTCAGCTGTGCAGCAGCACCAGTGCAAGTCCATTCCATAAAGAGAGTTAATCACAAAGCTGCACCTTGCGTTAGTACTGTTAATCTCCAAATAAACTTCACTGATGCAAGGCTGCAATTCTGCCACTGTTTCACGAGGTAGCCTTGGACAACTCACTCCAGTCATTTGTGTGGTGCTTCAGTATGCTCAGCTATAAAATGGTGATGATGCGTGTGTGACCTTGTTATGGGCTTCTGGGTTTAAGAAAGGAAAAGAAACACTAAGGTATTATTCGTCAGGACTTTTATTGATTATTGTTGACAGCATTGGTGCTATCTAAATTCACTGACAGAGATCTTTGTTACTGCATTATTTTGCATCCTTCTAGAATACTGAATTCACCAAAACTCAAACTTCTGCAAACCAGGAAGTAGAAAATTAATATTAATTCAAACAACTCTCTGTAAATCAAGGAAGTAATTCAAACTTATCCTTGTTTCCTGAAGCTGGCCATAGCCAACAGGCACTGACCTGCAAACCCTTCAGCTGTAGTTACTGTGTTTCGTGCTGCCTTTAATGCAAGTGGATGATGCTGGAGCTACTTCAGGAGGATATAAAATAATCTGGGTGAACCATGTCTTTCTGAGAGTAGGAAGAACAGAAAGAAAGAGGAGAATGTATTCTCTGAGAAAGTCCATGTGTCTTATTTCAGCCCTATGTTGTTTGAGTTATATAAGCAGTGGGGCTTAGGGGGCTTTTTACTATTGGTTTTGTCTCAGGTGAGAGATGGTTGTGGTCTGTTGGTCTAATGAGTAAGTGAAAATGTAATATTGGATGGATCCTGTGTGTGCATAAGGGTGAGGAGGCTGTAAAATTTAACAGATATGTAGTCAGGGATGATCTTGCCTTGAGCAGGGGCTGGACTAGATGACCTTGTGAGGTCTTCTCCAGCCCTGTTTTTTTATGACTCGGAGAGAGAGAGACTAGAATGGGCTGGATTCTTGAATCAACCTGTATAAATTACAAGCAAGACAAGATCACCTGGGATTCACTGAGCACCAGGGCCCCACTGGTCCAGCAGGACATGGTTATCAAGTTCCTTCTGCCTACTGCAGAGGTAGGATACCTTCCAGATTACTCTTACAACAAAGTGTGGCATGCTAATTAGGACTAGGAACATCTACAGGAAGACTGAGGGTGATAGGACTGGCTGTAGCGAGTCAGAAGACCTCCTCTGCTCGAGTTCTGTCAGTCCCCCCTCACTCCCCTTCTCCTCTACCCCACCCTAAGAGCTTGTGTGTGCAACAGACTAGATGAGGTAGATGTTGAGTCCAAGACCATGTTGGACATAATAAGCTAGGGACAGAAGTTACACATAAACCTATTTAAACCTGTAACAGAACAGAAGGTCACTGCATATAAGCCAGTTTCAAAATGGCCCAAACTGATTTAAGATAAACCTGGCTGAATATAGTATTAGACTTAACTGATTTTAGTCAAACCAGTTTATGAAACTTCTGTCCAAGACCCCTTCCTAGTTCAAATTAAATTGGAGTCCCCCAGCATTCCAGTATGCTTTGCAGCCCTGGGCTCCAGAGAGTAGGGCTGGCCCTGCCCCTCTGCTGCCTAGATGGAGCAGTGAGGGCCGGCTCATTGGGCCCACTAGACAAACCCCACCTGGGGCCAGGGAGTGGGGGTTAAACTCACCTTCCCCTGGGAACAGAGCTACCCTGCCCTGCTGGCTTACTTAGTACTGGCTGCAACTGTGGACTATAAATCCCAGATGCACCTAGAAGCAGGAAGAGGAAGTGATGAGTAATCTTGCAGCGTTTGCTACTGTGATTGTGGACTGCAAATCCTAGAGACTTTGGGGACAGCAGAAAGAGGAAGCAAGCACAGAGCCTAGGGTGACTAAGTGCCAGAGAGTCGTGCTTTTGAATCACCCCTCCTCCCCCTGGCTCCTGGCTTCTGGCTTGAGCCACTGCAGGTATGTGGCTGCATTTCCTGAATCAAAAGTGATTGTTTACTCATTTGCTTATTAGTTCAGTCTTTACAGCTTAGACTAACCTGCAAAGACTGAATTAATTCAGCCTCGGGCTTTTTGACTAACTGTACTTAGCCATAGTGTGATCCTCTGGTCCATTCGGAAGAACTGTGAGAGTCTGACAGCCGTAAGAAAATCAGAGGGGAGAGGGTGGTGAGGAGAGCAGGTGAGGGTTATATATGAAGGATTTATAGAGCATATAACCCCAAATGTGGAGTAATAGCTTTCCCGTACACCTCTAGGACACGCACAAATTCAGGGCAATCCAAGTGAGTGCATGCATTCTGAGAGAGTGATGAGTATGTCTGCAATATACATTGCAGAGTTGTGTAGAGATGGCTGAACTTTCTCTAAATAAGATGGCTCTCTGAAAAATGTAATTATCAATCCACTTCTCACACAGCACAGAGAGGATACTGTATATTGCTCTGATCCATTACTTTTTGCAAGGCTATATACTGTACACACAGTCTATATAATTATCACCCTCTAATCCCTCTGAGTAATGACCTCAGATTTGGCAACTGGTTGGAGAAAAACAGTTCATCCATCAAAGATAATTGAGCTGTAGCCTGGTGGGTAGAAGGTGCTGTGCAAAATGGTTTCTAATATAGTTGGGCTTATGCCCCTAAAGCCCATTTTTGTGGGTTCACCATTTAATAGGCATCTACAAGTAGAGGGAAATTTGAAGGTGCAAGGACTTGAAGGTGTCTTTGAGCTTCTATATGCATGACTGTGGGCTTGGTGTCAAACACTTATTGATTCACATAGTTGCTGCAAACAATGTTTATAGTTCCTCCCTTTCCCTAGCAGCTATCTGATCCCTGAGGCTCAGTAGTGAGAGAGCAATCTTGCCAATAATCATCTCCACAATGGTTGCATGTATAGTAACTTTTAAAAAGAACTTCAAACCCAATTCTAGTAGATCCACAAGCAGTCTCCTGATTGCAGCTTAGTGGAGGTAATGCCTATAGAGTCTGTTGAGCTTAGTGAGTTGGTTGAGAGAGACAGCCTACAGCTAGACATCTCTTGAGGAGACTTCACTGAAATGATTCAGAGAGGACCAAAAGCACAAAGCCTGATGTGAGAGCGTTAAAACTGAGACATCTTTTAGACAGCAGCATCTGGGCACCACAGATGGCTTGTAGAGAAATCAAAAACAGAAATTCTGTGACCGACAGCATGTTCACTGGAGTGTTTTGTTCATTCATAGTACAGTGATTGAAAAGAGCTTAACTTGAAGTGAAGTTTATAATTTGTCTTTTGTCTCTGCTGGATGGAAAAGCTTTAGCAGCTTGAGTCAGACCCTCCTTAGGTCCATGGGAGTGATTCCATCCACTCCAATAGTTCCCATTGTACAGAAGGGGAGTTGAGGCATAGAGATCAGTCAAAAGTATCCTCTAATTTGGGTGGTCCATAGAGATGCCTAGTACCTGATTTTTTTTTTTTTCATACTTCTTTGAATATCTGTTGTGCTACAAAATGCTAAGTGCTTCAGTTGCTATTGTGGGTATTCAGCATTTCTGCAAATAGGATCTTACGGCTTCAAGTTGGAAGCCTAGAGAATGAGGAGCATACTGTTGGTGACTAGCCAGTAAAAGGTGCCCAGCAGCACATGGGAACTCTTTGGCACTGGCGGGACTAGAATCCAGTTGTCCAGGATAGCATTCAGATGTTAC